CAGTGGTACATCGCAAGACGAATGCCTCGCAAGACAAAAAACTCGCAAGACGAAAGGGTTTTTTGTTTTTTGAGCTGCTTCGCAAGACAATTTTCCCTATGGGCTTGCTTCGCAAGACAGAAACGTCTTGCAAGTTTGTTTCCTTTTTCTTAACACCGTTAATACAGTTGCGACTTGACTTTGAGGAGCAACTCATAGCACGCGGTGTGGTAGCCTTTTTTGAGGTTTTTGAAGACTTTGGTGATTTTGAAGCTTTTCCAAAACTTTTCCGACACCGTGCTTCGCAAGACGGAAAAAATCGCAAGACGACAAAACTCGCGGAATGAATTAATTTCGTCTTGCGAGGCACCACTGTAGTTAAAAGATGATTATATCATACATAACTTAAAAAGATAAAAACAAGGACAAAGTGTTAAAAGTGTCTATAAGGGAGGGAGTATGAAGGAGCACAGGTCCACATTTTGGGCCTTGTTTGTGGCGCAAACCATCCTTCAACAAATATCCATCAAGGCAGCGCAAAATCTAGCAACTGAGTAGCAATTCTGCATTTTCATCTTGACGTAGCAGAGAGGTATAAAGTTGTTTTGTGCAACCTGGAAATTTATGTAGCTTAGGCAAGATGAATCTGGATCTTTCCCATCATTTGCCACCTGATCCTTCTGAACTGAAAATGGCAGGAATCAAGCCCTGGGCCTTTCGTGTGCAAAACAAGTGTTCCGCCACTGGCTGGGAGGGAGGGATGCTGCCGTCCACCAGCATATGGAGGGCTGCAGGCTCCCCACCTCTGCTTTAAGGCTTTTTTGGAGTCGCAGGTGGTTTGCTTTTTCAGACTATTGAAAGCGAATCCAGGAGAAGCTGTTTTCAGTTTGGAAGTTGAATCCTTTTGTCTGTCAAGCCATCAGGTTTTAGAATAGGGTCCTTTGCCAGCAAAGTATGTAGAAAATTGCCACAGTCTTACTAGGAGATGAATCTCTCTCTTCAGTAATGGCATCTGGGAAATGAGCCTGAAACCCCATGCAAGAAATTCACCAAACACACTGCTAGACCCTTGAATAAAGAAACCATAGATTCCAGTAGTCTGGATTCACTCCCAGAACCAGTATTTATTTATTTATTATTAAACTATTTCCTGCCTTAAGTATAAGGTGCCCAAATGCCAGGACCAGCTTAGGAGATTTTTCTCCAGGGGTGGAGAACACGAGACTTTCCAGATAATGCTGGACTACAACTCCCATCATCCCTGACCATTGGAACAAGAAGGGACAGAGCCTCCAAGCTGCTGTCAGCTAATGAAAGTCTCACCTTGGCGTGCACTCCTATTTCAAAGTCCATGTTTATGCTGGAGCTGCCTGTGAAAAAAGTAATAGCAGGGGGGAAAACCCACATGCTGAATTCTTGATAGATCTTCTCACTCTCTGAGAGGATCATTGGAATAGCAAGACTAAATGCATAGGACTACTCTGTCATTTGTGGGGGTCACAGAACAAAGGAAAGCACAAAAGAATCATTGGGTGCAGATAACTATTAATTGTTAGCATTTCTGTGGTGCTTTCAGGTCCTCAAAGTGCTTATCAGGCCTTGATGGTAGGGGCAGAGGAGAAATTCAGTTCAGTACATGTTTAAAGGTGAATCTATAAAATGTGAATCTTCAAAATTCACACTTATCTGAATTTTGAGATCTCCAACCAACTTTTGCAAAAATCCATATACTAGGGTTGTGAATTAATAGTGGGGGGGGGATGCTTGCAAGAATGTGTACATTAGTCAAAACTACATATAAAAATGTGTTTTAGGAGAAATTAACATAAATTTCCATGAGGACTTTGTAATTTTAAAAAAACTGATGTGAAAATGTGGAGAAGTAAACTTAAGACTGGAGAATTGAGAGAAATCAAAATTGACAAATTCACCCATCCCTTGTGACTACTGAGCGGGGTGTTAAACTCAAGGTCCTCTTAAGCTGCTGCACTGCATCAGTCTCTTATTGACTACGATTGAGTAAAATCTGGACTTCTGTCATCTGTTTCAGCTTCCAGCAGCCACTCCTCAGCTCAAAAATGCAGCAAGAGCATTCTTGAATTGACCAGTTGCATGAACTCTCAAGTGTGCTCTTGCATTTATTTCCTGTGTATGTAACTGAATGAAAAAGTCACATTGACCAGAGCATTAATTTCATTTAAAAGTTACTTTCTTTTTTTAGTTAATTCAGAATTGATTCATTCCATGCTTAAAGAGGTTCTTAGTATCGTGTGTGAAAACCTTCTTTCTCTAAATGAAAGATGTCTTGCATTTCTGGAGCAGTTATTGTAGGGCAGGACAGAATAGTTCAGATTCTTAAAACTCCACTGTCTGGCTCTTTGGAAGCAGACTCCACGAGTTCCATGAAGCAGTTCCCCCCACCCCCCGTGGCTGGAGTCTGCAGAGGTTGAGCTGGTGGGAAGAAAGATGATGCCCAAGATTAGCTTCACCAATGTGGTTCTGTCGTTCAGATGCATGGGACTGCCTCTTGGGAAACTGGCCCCTCTGTATTGCAGCCATGGACCAAACCAGATGTTGCCCTATTCATGCAACTAGCAACTGCAACAATAGCTTTTTTAAATCATGTTTGTCATTTCTTGTATTTATTGCTCACCTTTTCACAAACTTCTGCAAACCAACTTACAAAAATGGTACCAACATTAAAGCCAAATATAATCATGGAGCCTCCCTCCTCCCACCCAGAGTGCAGACAGCAGGCATCTGGGGCCAGATCTGAATCAGGACTTCACAAGGGGCAAAGGAGCAAAGCTGCTCTAAGGAGCACTGCCCCACCAACCTCAGCCAGCTCCCACCTGCCATCCATCCAGCCCAGGGGGCTACAAAGCCTATCACCTTCCTCCTCTTCCTCCTCCTTCAGTCTGTGTTTTGCCCTTGCAGAAGTCAGCAGGGAGGTGGATGGGGGCAAAGCCAGAATTAGTTAGCTCTGTCTATTAGTGCCTCCAGCTCCACCTGCCATTGGCTTCAACAGCTATTGGTCTTCCTGCCTTGTGCCTTACTAATCCCAACGGGCCAGTCACCACCACCTGTATGCCATGGTCCTGATGTGCCCTGCACCTGAAATTGCTTCTCAAAAAGGCATACATGAGGGTGGCACTGTGGTTGCTAATTGCATGGGTGGGGTTGTGTCTAGTTTGGCTCTGCATTTCAGTGACAACTGCATGTAAGACATTCCTAGTTAGTTAGGTTCTAGTTAGGGACATTCTGCAGATGGGAAGCTATGTTAGAAATGGCCCATTCTCTGAGAAAACTGGGCAGCACAGGAGAATGAATGGAATCCTTTGAGGAACCAAGAGACCTTTGCATTGAGAAGCTAGTGTCATATAGTAGCTGAGAGCCTGAGTTGCAAACTCTGTTGCCAATTGCAGCACAAAGAGGGGGGATTTCCATTAGGGTTGTGGCTGGGGTGCAAATGGTTAAACCTCCCCCTTCTGTGTCTTATGCTTGAAATCAAAATTGCCTTCCAACTAGGATTCATTTAAAAAAATAATCCTCTCACATGGCTACAAGCCACCCAATTATTGTGATGTGAGGGCTCAGCCACACTTTTGCATGGGCCCAAGCAGTTTCCCACTTGTCCCGTGCTTCTTAGGTCTGGGTCTGGGCAGTTTTGTGTTTGCCTTGCATCTTTTCCCTGGAAAACAAACACTCTTTACCAGGAGTGAATCAGAAGAAACACCAAACCCCCAGAAAAACTGATCACCATTTGGTCCAATTCAGCAGTAAACCATTGGTTTTCCTGGAGGGAAGTGGCAGGACAAGCGGAAGTGTGGGAGAGTCCTTAGTTAGGCCCTGATCAATGCTGTTTTTCTAGAACAAGAAGAGGGGCTGGAGCTCATCCTGAGCACCTCCTCTCTTCTCTTATTATGGCAATGATTCCCACCTGAGAGGTGTTAGAACTGAGTTCCGGCTTTAAAAAAAGCTCTGGCTCTGATACTAAAGTTTGTGGCAGGGTGATTGTAAACATTTTATTGAAGGTCCTGTGTGAGTGGCTGGAGGATGGATGGTGGCTAACGGATTGAGGTTGAATCCTGACAAGACAGCAGTACTGTTTTGGGGGGACAGGAGTCGGGCGGGTGGGGGGGACTCCCTGGTCCTGAATGGGGCAACTGTACCCCTGAAGGACCAGGTGCGCAGCCTGGGAGTCATTTTGGACTAGCTGTCCATGGAGGTGCAGGTCAATTCTGTGTCCAGGGCAGCTGTCTGCCAGTTCCATCTGGTACACAGGATGAGACCTTCTCTGCCCACGGACTGTCTCGTCAGAGTGGTGCACACACTGGATGTCCCCCACTTAGACTACTGCAATGCGCTCTCCGTGGGGCTACCTTTGAAGGTGACCCAGAAACTCCAACTAATCCAGAATGCGGCAGCTAGACTGGTGACTGAGAACGGCTGCCGAGACCACATAACACCGGTCTTGAAAGGCCTACATTGGTTCCCAGTACGTTTCTGAGCACAATTCAAAGTGTTGGTGCTGACCTTTAAAGCCTCAAATGTCCTCGGCCCAGTATACCTAAAGGAGGAGCATCTACACCCCCATTGTTCTTCCTGGACACTGAGGTCCAGTGCCAACAGCCTTCTGGTAGTTCTCTCACTGCAAGAATCAAAGTTACAGGGAACCAGGCAAAGGGCCTTCTAGGTAATGGCTCCTGCCCTGTGTAACACCCTCCCATCAGATGTCAAGGAAATAAACAACTATCTGACGCTTAGAAGACATCTGAAGGCAGCCCTGTTTAGGGAAGTTTTTAATGACTGATGTTTTAATGTATTTTTAATCTCCTGTTGAAAGCCGCCCAGAGTGACTGGGGAAACCCAGCCAGACGGACGGGGTATAAGTAATATATGGTGGTGGTGGTGAAATAATGCATATGAAGTTCTTTGGTGTGGTCCGAAATGCCACACAAATGCTTTAATTGTATTGGTGGGAGGAAATATGAACAACTAACTGTCTGATCTTAACACAGGTATTACAACAAGCTCGTGAGAAGCTTACTGGAATGTGATGAAGAGACGGTGGCGACCATAAAGGACAGTTTGATGGCAAAAATCGGTCCGAACATGGCCAGCCTTTTCCACCTCCTGCAGACAGATCATTGTGCCCAAATCCATCCGAGAGCCGACTTCAGTCGGAGACGTATCACGGAGCCTCAGAAGCTAAAAATCTATTTCCGAAATCTGCGGGGGGAGGGGCCTGTTCAGTCCCACATGAAACGTTCTTCCTCAGAAAGTGTGTAACGTTCCTTGAGAGGGTGGAAGTGTAGGGCAGCCTTCACCAACCTGGTTTCCCCCCAGATGTTTTGGACCTCAGCTCTTGGGTGTTGTAGTTCAAAACAGCTGGAGAGCACTAATTTGGTGAAGGCTGGTGTAGGGAATCCAAGCTCTACCAAAGTAGGAAATTTACTTCTTCTTTTCCTTTAGCATTAACAAACACCAGAAATTTACTGTAATTGATTTTAAGGAACACTGAGCTAATCTACACATTCAAAACAAATAATGACATGTGGTATATTCCTCCTAGGACTGAGCTGCTTCATTGTGCAGATAGGAGAGTTGCAAATTTAATGCACAATTGCTTGTATCCACCAAAGTTCTCCTCAGTGTAGCCCCACTGAAATGGTGTCCATTGATTTCAATGTGTCTGCTCTGGGTAGGACCAGCATAGGGTACAGCCCTTAGATTTAACACACTTAAAAACAACAACTAGCATATCTCGAAAAGCTGTTCTAGGACCATCTCCATTGCCCCCTGGGCTTTTCATTGACAAGGGGTTTGTGAATGTTCCCTGCTCATCTCTGCCAAGAAATACAATCCCCTTATCTGCATTTTGAAGTGGAATAGTCCCAGGAAATTTATCATATGTTTGAAATGAATGTATAGACCGGCGCCTGGAAAACAGGTGGGTTTTTGGGTGAGGGGTAGGGTATGGTGAGGATTTATTTTCTTTCGCTGTCTTCAGACAAGCTGTATGGACCTGGGATTTCTGGTTGGGGAGGAGATCCCTTAATTCCTGAAATGGAAATACCTTCTTTTCTTTCCACTCACCTTCCCATAAAGAAATCCAATGAATCTGGGCTTTTCTTGAAAGCAATGTTAACAGCACTTCTTCAGCAAACACCAAACTATCACTGTACTGTAGCTCAAATGCCATTGCAGTTTGTGCAGGGATTGGAATGAAGTCAACTGTTGAAGGCTAAATTCTGCTGAACTAAGTTGGCAGATAAATGGTGGCGAGTCAAAACTACAACAGTTGCACAGTCTATAGAGGTCAGTTGGGAAGTCTCCTTATGAATGGTGCTGGCCAAGGCCAAATAGGGTTGTCATATCTGGGCTTATGGTCTGTGTTGTGCTCTTAATTTTCTCAAGCTTGAAGATCCCTTAAATGCCTGATTTATACCAAAACTGATTTTTTTGCACTGTGTTGACCCTAAAGCAAGAAAAGGGGGAGCACCTGTGATCCTCCATAAGTTATTGGGTTCCAGCTCACATCATCTCCAGCCAGCTGGGGATGGTGGGAGTTATAGTCTAAAAGCACCTTTAGGACCACGGGTTCCCCACCCTGCCACAGAGAGAACCCCACTGCAACAGTTGCTCTTGGCCACACCTGCACACACCATCTGGATGAAGGTCACCAAAAACAGGTTTATCTATAATAGGACAGCCAAAGTTTTTCAGAAGGGGGGAGGAATGGGGGTATTCTGAGTACTTTGTTTTCCCAATCACCACACTGGAAAAAGGGGTCATTTTGCCAAATGTTTCCCACCTTTTTTTTTCCCCCTTCTCCTTGCTTCCGCTGCCATTTTTTTTCTTTGCCAGAACTAGCTCTGGAGCTTTGTGGCGATGTAAAATAGCAGATTGGCTGCCACTACTGCAGTTGTTGCTGTTGCTACTTTTAGCAGCAGAGGAGAAGGAAAACCTTAAGGGAAATATAAGAAGCCATGTTGCCCCACCCCTACTGATGGCATGTCTCTCTCCCAGCAAATGCGTATAGCACAGCTCAGGAACCTCTGTCCAGATATTGTTAGACTCCAACTCCCATCAGCCCCAGCCAGTGTGGCCAATGGTTTGGATGATGGGAGTTGGAGTCTAATGAGAGGGGCTGTGGCTTCCTCCATCCCTGTGTTACAGATTTCCTCCTTCCAATGGGGAATATACAGTGAAATAGTCTCTATCAATTTCATTGCCACCAAACAGGGAGGAAAATGTTGGAAGGTCATGTATGTTCAGTTCTAGGACAGCCATAGATTGATGTTGTGTTGCAAGTTGTCCAGGTCATGGAGATGGGGACCTTGTGGCCCTCCAGATGTTGGATGATGGGTGCATCATCCCTGGTCATTGATCAAGCAGGTTGGGGCTGATCCAAGTTTAGCAACAGCTTGCAGGCCACAGAGTCCCTACCCCGCTATAGATCATAGCAGTGGCACAAAATAGTCCCTGGTGTTGTTTTCATGTGTGTGTTGGTGGGGGCAGGAGGTTAAATCTGTGTCTGGACTGTACCACTCATGGAAAGTTTGTACCTGGCATGGCTGAAACCCTTTGATGTGCTTGCAGTAGGTGCTCTTGGGCAATGGAGTGGACTCCCTCAGGAACTGATGGGCTCTCCTTCACAAAAGGTATTTTAGCAGAGGCCCGATGCGCATCTGTCAGGGAACCTGTATGGCAGATCATGCACTGAGCAAAAGGTTCCTTCCAGCTCTGATTCTTGGTGGGGGGTGGATCAGTTGGTGGCTGTATTTTTAAAGCCATGGGACCCCCATACTTGCAGCTTGAAGTGGTATAGTGCAGCCAACAGGTCTGCCACCTCAGTGACCACTTGGCCCTTATTTCTATTAGGGTACTTTGTCTGTGGGCAGCCGTGACTGTGGGAGTTGCATACCTCTTGCACTGCTTCAAAAGCAAGCAAATATCCTTATGTACTGTATCTTAATTCAAAGCTTTAAAAAGAATCTTGAGCAAAAGGCAGTTGTTTTGAGAACAGAGTTTCAAGACTTGTTCTGTGGTATAAATAGTAGAACTCATGTACTGTACATAATTTCCAGAGGAGTCTGCTTTTAAATGCAGAACAGAATACCTTTATAGCATGCATTTTAATCTTGTACCTTGATTTTTTCCCCTCCCCCCGGCACTGGTAGCATTAAACACTGCCTGCATTGAAATAATGGCACTTGTTGGATAAAACTAAATATTCTTGGTTCTAAAATCCTCTTCAGGCATTCTTAAATTATCTCTCCCCACAGTAAGTGGAGGCACGCATGCCAGTTCTGCCCCCTCCAGACCTGGAGTCAGTAGTGGCTGGGGTCCATTATGACTTGTGGGGTGGAAGCCAGGGAGCCAACAGCAGGTGGCGCCAGAGCCCTTGACAGGCAGAGCCAACTAATTCTAGTCTTATTCCCATCCTTCTCCAGGCCGAGTTCTGCAAGGGGCAATAATGAGACTAAGGAAGAAGGATCTTACAGCCAGGGCCATGCCATGGATTGGTTGTAAGTAAGAAGGCAGACAGGCGAGGGCTGGCTGGGGGCAGACAGAGGTTGGTGGAGCAGTGCTCCATTTGCCCAAAGGGAGCAACAGCCTCCACTGGTTGCTGTCGTTATGATCTGGACCCTTGCATTATGATGGGGAGGCTTCTACGTGCATTCAGCAAAATTCACTTCCAATCGCCTTTTAGACCATGCCATTCAACATGGAAAAATCAGGGGTGGAGAAGGCAGGGGGAACATGGAGGGCTCCACTGCTGCACCATGGATACTATTTAGGAACCACTGAGCAGAGCTCAAGTGCCCCCAGAGTGGATGAAGCTGCAGTCCCAAGCACACTGCCTGTGAGTTTGATGGGGGAACCTTTGGCCTTCCAGATTTCATTGGACTACAACTCCCATCATGCCTGACCACTGGCCATTCTGGTTGGGGCTGATGGCAGCTGGAGATCAACATCACCTGGAGGACCACAGATTCCTATTCCTTGGCCTACGAAAGGGTGTCAGCCCTATTGTACTTAGTAGGATTTCCTTCTAAGAAATGCATGTTTACAATCACACTGCAGTTCTGTGAACCGCCCTGAGACCTCTGTGTATAGGGCGGTATATAAATTCAATAAATATTAATTAAACAATGGGAAAAGTCCAGTTCTAAAGACACCAAGCCGTTGAAACAACTGTGGCGATATAGTTGCTTTGATCATTGCCAGATGGCTAAATGGAAGAAAACCTCTGAAGCACTGGCTAGGAAGGAATGACTTCAGAAACCAAACCCTGCATGGTGTGTCTAAAGTACCTTAACTCTGTACACCAGGCATAGCCAGCATGGCAGCCTCCAGATGCTGTAGACTACAACTCCCATCCGCCCCAGCTGATGTAGTAGTCAGTTGTAGACCAAAAGGTCTGGGTGGCACCATGCCAGCTGTGTCTGCTGTGCATCTGTTACTTCTGCAGAAAGTGAAATGTCAACAGAGTCCTTTAGAGCAACCAGTAAAATCCAGAGCTAGCTTCAGGTTCAAGCTGCCCAGCCATCTTATGAGCTTCCCTTATATACAAACCTTGCCACCGAGAGTAGCCAGCAGCAGCAGCACCGCAATCTGTAATAGCCCCCCCCCCAATCATTTAGAAATGTAAATAGTGAGTACTTTGCACAGCCAGGCTTAGGTGGACCCTCGGCAGCTGCCCAGGAATGCTGTCTACTGATACCAGAGCCAGTGAAACTGTTCCCATAAATTGTGTTTGAATTCAGAAAACGAATGTGTCAAAGAGAAGGCTAGTTTTCATCGTGCAAGTGTTGTTGTTTTCTATCCTGTGATGAGCTACTTATCTAGACCAGACCTTACAACTCCCCTCTATATCTGAGTTTTTCAAACATGCATGCTTTCAAAGTTTGAAGGAAGCATCCCAAGATATTGTACTTTCCCAATAAGACTCAAACTTTTCCTGCTCTTTCTAATGTGCATTTAGTTCAAAGATGAGAAACCATTTTGGGCATGCAGTCAAAATCAAGAGAGATCTGTGCATTCCAAGTGTGCTCAGTTGGGAGTGCTATAGCCAATTTGTAACTTGGTTAAGGAGGGCAGAGAACGTTTCAAAAGTACACTTCTCGTGGAAAAATATACAAAGCAATATAATATTTACCATGAAGCCTTTAAGCAGCAACTTACAGCTAATATGTTTCAAGCCAGGGGCAGCACTTCAGTCTTTCCTGACTTTATGTACCATATACAGTATGTATCCCAGAAAGTGCTGTTACAGGATTATAAGCAGCGCAAAGAAATTGCAGGCGGTTCGGCATTTCTGCACTCTGTATTATGCAGTCAAGCTCAGTCTAGATGGGATGCTGTGGAATATAATCTTGACACTTTTCAGGTGAGCTAGATTCCTATTTTGCAGGATTGCACCCTTTCTAAAGTGCTTGAAAATTAATCTTTGTGAGGGGGATTTTGGGTTCTAGAATGTCTGATCTTGAGCAGTACTTAGCACCCTGTGGAACAAATCTTGAAGTTTATATTCTGTGGAAGTCTGAATAGCCCAGATCTCAAATGTATGCTTGAATGGGGGGGGGGGGTTTCACGATCTCTTTTGCAAGAGTATTATGCCATATTATTAGATGTTGCTTTACATTTCAGCTTTTCCACAGTTGCCATAACCCCCCTCATGTCCATATGTTTTGATTCATGGAATTTAGCCACCACAGAATTCTTGCTCCGCCAAAGCCCATGACTCTTGCTATTTAGTTTAATGAAGGATTGAGATTTCTTTCTTGAAGGGTGCGCCCTGCTGCAGGTCCACCAATAACAGAAGCTAAGGGTGGTCCCACCCCATAGGCCAGTGGTAGCCAACATGGTGCCCTCCAGATGTTGCAGAACGTCAGCTCCCAGCCAACAGTGAAGGGAGTTATAAGCCAGCAACATCTGAAGGCCACCATGTGATCTATCCCTGCTGTAGGCAGAACATCCATTTGCCTAGGGCAGTGGGATTCCAAAGACTCCAGACTAATCAGCAAAATCTACTGAGAGGAATAACACAATTTTTCCTGCTATCAGCTTCTTGAGGTAATATGGTTTAAGCTTTCCCAACTGCAGCCCCCACC